GGTCCACAAAATGTAGATGACTATCGAGAGGTCTAAACCTTTTTGTGGCCTGTTGGTGAGATCCCGCTGAGTTTGGCATTCCGGAAGAAGCAATTGATTTTAGATAGTTCTTGGAAGACGTAATTATTAATAATCATACTAGCGTCAAGTGACTGCCGATGGATAAAGAGTGAGACCAACTGTGAATGAATGCATGTGTTCCTTTACGAAGTGGGAAAACGGCGAACTGAGTTTAAGCCTCATAATGGAGCTTGCACTCCAGGATGAAACTGATAACAAACCCTCACGACTCTTTCTTCGTCCAGTGCCAAAATGATGAGGTAGCGTAGTGGGTTCACTATAACGACGTGCCTCAAACAGTGTTCCGTGTGGATAAGGCGAACATAGCAACGGATTCTGAATAGATATCGCTGATGCCATACCTGCAAAAAAGGGGCCGACTGGCTGAAATCAAATTCAGGATTTTCCAGGAATTTACTGTCGTGTTACTTTAACTAGTGGCTTCAGGCCAGCAAGTGCATGTGATCCATTACCAAATTTTTCATGGACGTGTGACCAGGACGATTGTGTCCGTATTATCGCCATCTATAATCTCTTAGCAGATATCTCCCCATGAAACATCCTCGTCGAAGACCTGGCTGACTCTTTATTGGCATTACCTGTTGTTGGCGATGGCACAGCTATGCTGGCTCCTTTCGTGCGATCAGCAGGACAGGACTCAGCAAAATCCTTCCGATTTGTCCAGTCTGCGCTGGCTGCCGTCGGGTGGCAAAAGAGTGCTGCTGATAACCAAGGTGATAAGAATCTTGCATCTGTAAATTATGAAATCAAGGAATCAACAAGAATTAGTGCTTAGTATGAATGCTGGATTCCAGTAGCGAGGCAACCATTTCCTCTGTGACTTTCGTTTTGATGGTCAGTTGATACTAGCGTATGCCAATCGAAAGGCAACCGAGAAAAAGAGCCATCGACAGCCTTTACAACGAGTGGATGCTGCTAGCACTTTCTGTGCTCTGAAAAATTCCGAGTGCCTCCGTTCCTCACCCAGAACGAATATGGAAGGGTTTTAATACTGGATGCTGGCAAAGCATAATAGCAAATATTTCATAATTTGCAAGCACTGCTCATGGATTTTTTCCTTGAAACCGTAATTAAGAGATCCTTTCGTAATTCCTGGAAAGTACTCTGTTAACAGCAAGTGCGTTCTGGTGAACCACTTGACACGCCAAACGCAATAAGCTTGCACCAATTTGGATACAGTCAACTGATAACACAGGGAGTGATCTTCGAGTCAGTAAGATATCAAATTAAGATTAGGTGGTAATACTGAGCACTCATCAAGGACATCTCAGAACGGCTAAAAGCCTCGTCAAATGTTTCTGTCGAGAGAACCGCTGAGCTGGTAATCAGACGAAAAGAACTGCCGTCAGAGTGACCAACAGGTAGTGCAACACCAGTCAAAGCATCTAAAAAATTTGTCAGCTGCAGACTGCTAGGGAATCATGCTATGAATTACAGCCAATGCAAGAGAGTGTGGTTTTCATATTAAATGGTATTGCTTTAAGCCTAAGTGAGTAGTCGAATTCGATAACGCTAATTGTGACAACCTGCCTACTTTCACGCTGCGCTGTTTTTGAATAATACGTGCAGCTATTTGGAGTGCGCTGAACAACTCCATTTCATGACTCGATTTTGCAGTTGCGCAGCTAGTAGCTTTTCAGACTGTTTTGACTTGTGGTCAGGCTCTGCTGGTGGTCGTCGACTTCTTTTTTTTCTCAAATTCTACGAAATTTTGCTCTGTTTTAACAAGCGCGCTTGCGTGCAGTATTGGGGTGGTCTGAGATGTTGCTGCGACAAGTGGTCATTTATTTGGTTTACCTCCAAGTCCCTCCTTCTCCATGTGTGCAGACCATGCTGTGGCCGTTTTCAACAACACATCGTAAAATCACGAAAGGTAAACGAATCAGTTCGTTTCGCAGTATACTAGCTCCCTACCCCTGCGCCTCTCAGTAAAGCATCTCTGAACTAACAACAGGTCGTGATTTCTTAAACATATTTTGCAGCAAACTTCTGGTATGACATGTCTAGTGACACGTTTTCGAATCTGAACCGAACTGGCAATGAGGTATCGCGACGGAGTGATCCGGGTATAAGCAAGCAGCTAGTGACGATAAAGAGGACAAGTTAGATCCCGCTACAAAATAGATCCGCGAGTGTAATTTGGGCTGAATGGACCAAAATTAATTCATAAGCACATACCTTTCTTTCCCAGCTGTCATTTTCGACAGTATAATGAAATATTTTTAAAAGAAGTGAGGGTGCTATTGAAAATTTCGATAAGTAATGGTAAGCAAGTTTCAAATTTCGATAATTTCGAGTGTATGTTAAGCAAATTTCGAGAATTTTGAGTATATGTTCACCTCGTGCGTCACCCTCCCGTTTTAAGATCTTCCACATGCCCCTAGACCCCGCGTACGGATCCTCGAAAAAATATGCAAATTTTTTTGGCAAGAAATGATTTCGCGAACCAGGCAAGGTACAAAGCTGAAACTTAGCAGGAATATTCTCTGTGCATTTGCAAGCTAGAACTTTCAAATTTAGCGGTCGCGCGCACTTTGCGGCGCGTACGGTCACGTGAAAGTTTGCAACTTGGTACTGTGCTAACTCGGAAACTTACTGGAAAACAGTGCTGAAATTTTGTCAGCATGTTTGTTGCCCATACGGGAAATCGTATACCTAAAACGAGTACCGATTTGCACTTGCGCCACGACTTAGCGCACTTCAAAGATATTTGTAGTGAAGAGGAAATTTGCTTACCGGATAAGATGTGAGACTGAAAATTCTCTGGGATATTCTACTTTCAAGTGTGGTCTTAATTTTGCTTAGAGGGGAAATTCCCTGCAAGTGGGCATGAGAAATACTCAGATTTACTGAAAAATCAGTTTTGCAGCGAATGTCAGCCCTCATCTAAATATGTAAATGAATATTCAGTTCATTTGCATACTTAGACTTTTAT